ACTGGCCAGCAAAAAGCATGGACGTGAGCAGTGAAACAGAAAACAGACATTAAATGATGGCGCTCCAATGTTGCCTGGCATTTCAGCAAGAAACATAACCTGAATTGTTGTAATTAATTTGTCAAAATTCAACCTTTTTCTTTTGAGGCTATTGCCCTTACAAAGTCTCAAGTTGGCTCATCCCTTCGTGTTTTAAGATACCACGCTGATATGAGAATGACAGCTCTCTGAAACTCAGAATCCAGTTTCCATTCTGAATCCAGTTTTATAATCAATGTCCTGCATCAGGATTGGGCTGTGTTTTTTATTGCACTGTTTAAGCTTTTCCTTGGAGTTACTCTTTTTACCTACTTTGGAATAAACCTGGTAATTCAGGGGACAAATAGACTATTAAATATTTCAGAAAATGTCCTCACTTCGACCTGGAATTTAGTATTTTGCATCATGTGTCAGATTACAATTTGTAGGGAAATATTGAGAATTATCAGAGAAGCATTTAAAAGTTTATTATTTTTAATATTGCCCTTCTTTGTTTGTTTATTTGTTTGCTTTCTGTAGCTTTGAAACAGTTCTCATTTTGTTCATAATTTAGAAATTACTGTGTGCTAATTTTTCATTTTAAAGATAAGTGTTTCCTCACAGATAATTTGTTCCCATGAATACTTTTATCCTTGAATCTCCCATATCTTTCAGTCATTTGCAGTACGGATTTGGAGTTTTGGTTTCTGTTGTTGTTGCTATTTTCTTTCTTTCTCATTTGGAAGATGATCATCCCTGCACGCTCCCCAGGGATAGTTAGTCCCTGTACCTGGGAGCTTGGAGCTGGTTTCATTTCCACAGTGCTGGGAGTTGCTGTTGCGGTCTGATTGTATTTCATGTGGAGGCTCTTCACTGGAGAAAAGAAGGATCAGTTTGGGCTTACATGAGGATGTCTGGGTGTAAGCTGACAGCATCTGAGAAGGCAGCTCAGTCCTTGCAAGCGGTATCAATTGGCCTGTCAGAAAGTGGTGATCTGTTATTTAAATAACTGCATATTCCTTGAGTCTCCCCGTGGTGATGTGGCAATTCTGTGATTTCTAAAAAGATCGGGCAGCATAGTTATTGTCACCAAATGTCTGTGAAAGGATGTGACATACCAGCAAAGGTGCAGTGCTCTTGCTGCTGGGAAATGGCGTCTTCCTTGGAGTTCAAAGTTTGAGGGCATTCCCTAAAAAAATCATAGAATTATTAAGTTGGAAAAGACCTCTCAGATCATCTAGTCCAACCATCAGCCCACTAACCATGTCCCTGAGTGCCACATGCACACGGTTCTTGAATGCCTCCAGGGACGGTGACACCACTGTTGACAAAGCTGGTGCATTGTCTCCATGGAGAATAGGTGTTTTTGTACCATTTGTTCCAAGTAATGATGTCTGAGGGGGTAAAAATTGTGTCAGAAATAGAGGGGTTTTTTAAAAAAAAGAAAAAAAAAAGAAAAGAGAGAGCCTAAAACTTTAGGCTTTTTATATGATTGCTTTCAGCCTAACCTGAGACCACATAACTCCTTGGACTTTGTAAGAGATTAAATCCAGTCCCAGGTATTTCAGGTAAGGTTATTGCTCTGCTCCCAGACTGTCCCCTGAGCCAGCTGTGTCTATTTCTAATTAAGGACTGAAGGAAGCGGTTCCTTCTGATGTCAGGAGTAGTGTGATGAGGCTGCGAGCACTTCTGGCAGTGCTGGGGAGAGGTCAGTGCTGGGGGAGGCAGCAGCCACCCTCCCTGTCCATCAAGTGGGATCCACAGCCACAGAGGGGGTGACCATAAAGGTGGCCTTCCCAATGACATCGCAGCAGCTTGACATTTGTTATTTGTGCCTCCTCTGAGGAGTTCGGCAACCGATTGACATTCTGATCTGTAAAACACCTGAGAATGCATTTATTCAGAGTATCCTAGGAGAAGCAGAGGAGATAGACCTGCTGTTACTGGGATAAAGGTGTGCTGAAAGTGCTTCGAGCCTCAGAGTCTGGTGTTTGGACGCAATTAACTGGTAGATGTTTCCTTCTCAGTGCATCTCGTAGCAGATCATAGGGCTGGGATAAATCAAAGTGTGTTTTTAAAGCAGTGTGCCAAATGCAGGATAGTGTGATTTTTATGATACAACATTTATTCATATGTAACTTCTGAAGGTATTTGAACCATCACTCATGCTTCAGTTCACATCCTTTAAGCATTAATTTGTAAGATGCACAGCATTTTAAAAATAACAATATACCATTTAAAATCTATTTAAATTCATCCTTTTGGAGTTTGACCTCTATAAAACAAATATAAATGACGCTGACTTTTAAGAGATGACTGCCTGTATGTTCTTTGGTTACCCAATCTTGCAAAACTGCTTCCATATTTTGGTTTACTGTAGCAAAATTCTTAATCTGTAAACTGATGTCTGAGTGTGCATACAGCATATGCATGTCTACGTACACCACACACATATGCACAGATGTTCCAGTGAGAAAAAAATCTTGAGATTCTTTGTGAACTCTATGGAAAAGATGAACACAGTGTAAATGATTGAAAAGGTACATGGGCACTTGGGATTGTTTTAAACTACAAATTAAAAAACGAAAGGAAGGAGGAAAGAAAACTATTAAAAAGGATAATTTTCCATTAAGTGAAGTGTTTGCAGTGAAGACAATTGTAGCAGTTGGCAGTATTCTCCTTGAACCAAAATAAATACATTTGGTGACATGCATTCAAGGACATGTGAATCTTACAGCAGTCATGCAAATAAGGAGCAGCCTTGCAAATGCTGGAGATTTTGCCATCTAGCATAACCAAAAGAATGCAGCTCTTGACTTGCTGCTCTTGCTAACTTACTGCTTAGAGGTGGCATATTAGGCATTGTCACACTGTTTTGCTATTTGCATAATCATTATGAATTATTGCAGGCTGTGAGTTGTGGCCGACAGTGAACATCTCATTTGGGAAAAGGGTTCAGAAATCTGAGAACTTATGTCTTACATCAAATAGGTCTTCATCAAATAAAAGGGATATCGGAGACTTGTATGTCTCCATCAAATAAAAGAATAAAAAGCCTCTCTACTTCAGGAGTATTACACCACAGCATTTTCAAATTTGTGTGAGGCGTAGTGAAGAATGTTACACTTGTTTACTTTCAAGAAACTGGGTAGGGATCAGTATTATAATTAATCTCAGAGGATCTGCCCATCTCTATTTGACTGCAGGCTGCAGTCCAAATGCAAAACATCTGGAAGAGTCAACAGGGGATGGGGAAAGGCAGCTGAGGATGAAGTTATAACTGGATTTCTGCAAGTTCAGGAAAACCCACCCAGCAGTGGTTATTCCTGGTGGCAGAAAGCCTACAGCAGACACAGAGGTGGTTGTTAAAAGGACTTTTATCCCAGCTTATAGAACAGGAGTGCACTGAGGTGGCATGCAATAGTGACTGGGGACTACTGGTCAAGGAGCAGTGAAGCAATGAATTGGGGATGTTTTGCTACACCTTTCTTCCTGGAGGAAGAATCCTATGTTCCCAATAAACACCAGCTCCATCTTTGGCATCTGCCCATAGATGGCTTCCAGAAGGGCTGCCTGAAAGCCCACCAGGATCTGGTCTGATGCAGCCTCTTGACTGAGACCTCACTGAAAGAGCAGATCTGTCTGGGAACAGTTAGCAACATTAACAAGCAAACGTAAGGCTTTGTGTTCATTTGGTGACCGCTAAAGCATTGTTTTTAAATCTGCCAGCATCTAACATATCTTACATATTTTCAGCTCTCTCAAGTCTAGAATTAGAATCAGATAGCTGTTGGCCTTTTTGCAGGCTTGCCCGAGGCACACTAGGTAATATCACGTGGGAAGCCAATGTAACATATGTTTTGCTAACCGGGAAGTGGTTAGCAAGGCAACATTTTTTTTTTTTTCATTAACACATGGTGCACTTACATGACATTAATATATATTTCTACTTTACAGATTTACAGTGCCAGAAGAAAGGCATTAGCTGAGCTAGGCAAAATAGGCAACTCGTCACAATGTCGTGAAATAACAAATAAAGCTGATTGGATACTCTGGTTTTCTTCTGATGAGAATAAAGTGTACAGAAGGAAATGCCTAAACCTGTGTTGTTTTGAGGAAATCTGGGGAAAGGATTCTCTGTTTTATGATGTCACACATCATAAACATCACTCAACATGTAGTTGAGTTTTGAAAAAAAAAAAAAAAAGGAAAGTTAATTTGTATGTCTATATTGTGTCTATATTGTTGTCTAATTCATTTCTAAAAATTAATACTGTTATGTAGTACAGTGATTTTATTCCCTCTCCAGCTACACTCCACCAGCCGTATATACACTGTCATGCTAGTACTCATGTATTCGTGCTCTAAAGTTGTGATAGTGTCAAATCCATCAGAAAGAGGAATTGTTTCAGCAGTAGTTTCATGACTTGGCTGATTAACAGAGATCAGAAGAAGCAGCCTAACTGTGGAAACCACTACAGCATGTAGTTTTAACAGCTCTTTAGGGAGCTAGTTAATGAAAGAATCACTACAGAAACACATCCATGTAAAAAAAGGAGCATTCTCACACAACACTCAGAGGATATGTCATAAGTGGAAATATGTTCATAATTTCTATTTACTCATAGCGGTAATTACCATCTGCCTGAAGAGTACTTTCAATCTTTGTCAAAGTTGCTTAGATATTTCCTTTGTCACATTTCAAGCAGTGAGGTTCTGTACAGACTAGATCCTGCCCTGCGATTCCTTTTCCATTCTTCTGCAAGAATTTAATTATCTATTCCCTGTGTGAAGAAAACATCAGCATTCCCAGAGACCAGAGCCTCCCTGGTCTGCTTGGACTGGCATTCAACTGATTCATGTTCTTGCTTATTTTTTGCCATCTGTCTGCAAACCAGAGTTATTCACTTTCAAATTCACACTGGTTTATATGCTGCTTGCTAATTTTTAACTCTAACAATCTATTCCTCTTTTTGCTGTAGTGTCTACGAGCCAGATAGAAACGTGCTGCGCAGGAAAGAATGGGAAAGGAGAAATCAGGAGGCCCAGCAGGAGGATGGCACGTTTAACACCAGTTACTCCCTCTTCAGTGAACCATACAAGGTAGATGCTTTCCGTCTGGGAGACTTTTTTATTTTAATTATTATTATTATTTTATTTCACAGTATAAAATCTCAGCCTGCAGAAGGCATTGTCCGGGTCTCAGCAACCTCCCACAAGTGCCAGCCCCTCAAAATTTGCATAGAACATTTATGGTTCATTGAGAATTGGATTTTTCTTACATTAGCTTCCTATAATGTTCAGCAGCACATGAGAATGTAATAAATGAGAAATGTCCTAACAATATTTGAGATGGCATTAAAACTGGGAGGTGAAGGTGATGGTGCCCTGTTTCTGCAACACATAGGAGAAAGTAATTGCGTTAGAGTTGTGTGAAGGTCAAGCTATACAGTAAACATCATGCTCTGGCCAAGGTTAATGTGATGAAATATCTTGTTTTTATTTTTTTTCCCTGTAAGCAGTACCAACAGTATTTGTCTGCTAGGCATGTTTTGCCCTCAGCAAAGGCAGAAGTAACTCAACTCCTTATTTTAATCCTCGTGGAAACAGCAAGGTGAGACACAACCATCTCTGCCCACCTCCTGTTGGAAGGATCCAGCAGGATGCTCTGCACATAACCACTGCCTCCAGAAGGCTGCAAACCAGGCCTTTATGGATGGGACCAGAGAGCAGTATCCCACAGAGGGTGCCCCTCTCCTCTAGCTAATCAGTGACTTTGCTGTGTGTATTAGAATAACATCATGTATCTCCTACCGTGACATTCCAGTTATGCCCAAGTTGCTATTAAATCCACCGTACTGTGAAGCCTTTCCCCTCCATGCTGCTTCACTTGTCCTTGATGCTTTGGGTACTCAGTGCCTCTTTCCAGAGTCCTATTTGGGACCTGGCACTTGGCTACTGCACCTGACTTCGGTGCTTCCGAGCATCTGCCCGTGTTAAAGGGTCACCTTTTAACTTGCTATTCCTTCCAGATTGTTGTTGTTTCTAGTTCCTAATAAAAAAGGAAGATCTACCACCTTCAAACCATGTCCCTTGATAGAAGACAGCTCTGCCTGCCTTGAAGCTGACCTCCAGCTGCCCGAATTTCAGATTCATTACAAAGGCATTTAGAAACCATGGGAAATGTCTTGAAATCTTCCTTAAGGCTCCATTTGAAAAAGTCTACTGTGAGACCAATCAAGGGCTAATGGACGGAAAAAAGCCTGAAACATGTTAGCCGTGTCTTGGCATTTACTGAAGACTCCACTGCAATAGGGACTAATAATTTTCCATTTGGTGGAAAGATAAAAAGGACCTCCTAAGATAAAAAGGACCTGTTTTTTTTGCTTGGTCTCTGATACTGTTTTGTTTGTAGTATTGAAAGTGGGTATACTGAGGCTTAAATTACTTACAAAAGCGGCACAGCTGGAATACTGTACACACTTGGATTATTACCTCTGTTTCAACATACCTACTGTCATGCTACAGACTTCATGTATCACAGACTCACCAGTAGTTTCTGAGTTATTTATGATGTCTGAAGGGATCTTTGCAAAACTTCAGTATAATTCCATCTACAGTAGTGGGAGTGGATGAAAACTAGTGGATGCAGTCTCTAGGAGCAGTGAAGGTGCTTAGCAGGTATCCCATGAGAAAATCAGAATAGGGGCTCCATCCTTGCTTATCATCTGTAAACATCGTGGCCATATTTGGACTATCCTTTAGAAAAGGTGCTGGCAAAGGATTTGCCATTCAGAAGGCCACATCTGAAAATCAAAGACATTGGAAATCTCTTAAATAGTATGTACTCTTTCTCAAACATCAGATTTCCTGAAAAATCTTGACTCTTTCAGTTGCCCCTTATCCAGTTCATTTCGAAGTATCCATAGCAACCCTCTAGGAAGGATTCCAGGAAATCCACTGTCTTTTACTAGAGATGTATTTTGCAGGAGATAAAAAAATAGGAATTTCATTCTGGATACTTCATGGACAGGGTATTTTGACCCATTAATCACATAGGTGTTTTTCATGGAGAAAAAAAAAATCTGATGGCCTTCCTTGCAACCATCTGGCTTATTTTTGGAAGTGCTGGATCTTGCAGGTCTTCAAATGCAGGAATACATCCTACACTGAGGAATGTCAGAGCACTGTAAGTTATAAATGTTTGCACAGAATGTTTTTCCTACTTACTCATTTTGTGATTATGTTTTCCCTATGTGAGTGATTAAATAAAGCCAGCAATATTTCAGAGCAAATAATAGGAAAAGCTTTAACATCTAAAGCTCCCAACAAGTTACCTCAGGTCCCAGCTGGTCTCCCAGGAGAATGTAGGTGAACTCTTCCAGCTGAGCTCAGCTCAGCACGAAATCTTCTCCCCTCAGTGTATCCAGAAGGAACAAACAATACCCACCAGTTGACAGCATGTTCCACAGTACGAGCATTAGATCTTTTTGCTGCAATTATTTTTGTGGTTATCTGGCATTTCTCAATAACAGGCATCTCTGTATCACCTTCATATCATACCTATAGTCTACTGACTTGTCTGGGCTAGTGACAGTCTATAGATAATCTGCAACTAGGCTTTTATTTACCTCCCATCCAAGTAGCAGTCATGAGATAGAACTGACTTTCTATTAGGCAAGTTGGACTTTTTGGGACAAAACTTAAATTCTTTTGCATCCATTGACCCAGCTGGATAGAGAGCTGCCCCACAAATGGTCTGTGCTGGAGGAGACTTGTGGGTTTTAGAATGGCCCTGTTCCATTCTGAAGTCCTTGTTGCTGTGCTCCTGGGAGGGAAGGAAACCTGAGGCACAGGCTGGCTGAGACAGGCTGGACACAGACCCAAGCGTAGATCTCCTTCCCTAGAGGGAAGCTTGAAATTCATCTTTCTTCAAGATAGCTACACAAGTTGAATGTCCACTGGAGGGACAGAAGAGATTCACTGTGTAAAAGCAAACTTCTCTATGCCTTCAGAAAATAATAATTCTGGTCAAGAAGATACCTAACTAAGCGTAGTAGCCACAGAGCCCAGGAGACATATGAATATATCTCCAACCATCTTGAAGATCAATAAGCCCAACTGCAGATAGCCATAAATCTGAGCAGTCCAGATCTTCATTGTCAGCTGTTCAGTTTTTACCACAGTACCAACCAAGCATCCCCATGTAGATGCCTTCTGTGCCTCTTATTCTGCCTGAGTTGAACATACTTCCTACCCCAGTTAAAGCTGTGAACTAGACAACTCATTTCCTTTGCAACACTTTCTTTTTAGATATGCATGATGGTTCCCACTTTTGAAGCCTTTTAAGTAATTTCCTCTTCTCCAGGATGTCTGTGTGATTCTTGTGAAGGAACATTCCCTTCTTAAGCTATGCTGACCATGAATCAATGCTTCAATTTTATTGGAATTCTCGAAAAAGAATCCCCGCATTTCCAGAGTGATTGGTATTGCTACTACATCCTTCACATTTCTGTATATAAGAGGTTATTTTGCACTCCCTTTACTTCCTTCATCTCTAAGCTACTGTTTCCCCCTTACATGGAGGATCCTGAGATGAAAGCATGGCCTTCTGAAGCGTATGAGTGTTTCCCCATTGAGACTCCATGTCTGGAAGAGAGAAAGGACAACACCACTATCTCATTACTATCTTCCTCTGAAAATACAAAACAAAGCACATCACACACCTGATTCTTGGTAGGGTTCAGAAAAATCTGTGCTGAAGAAATGCTAATGATATACTCTTTTGCTTACTTTTAAAAAAAATAATTTTCAACCTTCTTCAGTGTTTTTTTTTTTTTCCCCTTGTTTTATTTCTCTGTGAAACTTCTTCCTTTTAAACAAGGAATTAAATGGATGATTTCAAAAACACTGATTAATCTTAAAGGGTGGAAATGCTGACTGTGTCCCCCCTGCTGCACAATTGAATACTGAGTATTTTCAAGAAGTTGGGGAGTTCTACTCACTTGTTTTTCCCAAAGGGAAGAGTGTTCTGGAGTGAACATCTCAACAGAGCATTTCATCAGTAGGATGTAACGATCTGTAGTTTTCCCACTGCCCCATGAGCTGCCTTCAGATCATCTTGCAGTATTTGGCTGGCTTAGACTGGAGAGTTCATTCAGTGCTTACTGGGTCTTGCATGGCTTCCCAGATGCAATGTGGAAACTTGAAGAGGCAGAGAAGGTAATCAGGAATTCAATATTTTCATTCGTGGCTGAAGGAGAGCTTGCACTGGGCTATAGGAAAAGTTTTATCATGGTCAGATTTAATCCAAACTGTTCTGTGTAGTTGCAATAATAAATTTTCTAGTTTCCAGGTAATATATTTTAACTACAGCATGATACCAGTGATAGATTTCTTTTTTTATATACTCTAAGGCCCTTTATAGCTTTTCCAGTTCAGGGTAGATTTAAGATGTTGACAAGTATCTTCAGAGACAATAAGGATTTTCGATTTCATCCCTCAACGCTGCTGCTGAATAAGACAGTGCAACTTCAGTAAAGATTTCAGCAGAAGCGTGCAGGGAATTTTGTTTGTCTTAGGTTGACTGTTGTAGAACACTCAATTTTTGTTTTTCAGACTAACAAGGGGGACGAGCTCTCTAATCGCATCCAGAATACACTGGGCAACTATGATGAAATGAAAGATTTGTTAACCGACCGATCAAACCAGAGCCACCTTGTTGGGGTTCCAAAACCTGGGGTTCCTCAGACACCTCTCCCCAAGCCTGATGAGCTTCTTATCGCAGACTCAAGACCACCACCTCCTCCTTCCATTTCCAACACTTCTTCCGCAGCAGCAGCCCTACCTGCGCAGCAGAGCAAAAGCACCACAATGGGTTGGCAGAAGGCTGGGCACAATGCTGCTTCAGAGAGTCAGCAGAGAGCCAGCAAGCATGGACACCGCTCACTGGAGTCCCACAAAGGTGACTTCAAACTGGCAAACCAAAAATCCAGTCTGGAGAAAATGAAACGCTATGCATCTAGTCCCACCTCCTCCTCCTCCAATGCTGCCCAGCAAAGCTCACTGAGGGCCACACTAGGTGACAGTGTCAGCAGAGTGCAGCAGCCAGCGAAGTTAAATTGCGGCTCAGAAGGAGGAACTCAAGTGCAGGAGAGACCCTCAAAGCACAGCAGTGGGCACTGTGTCCAGAACTTCCCACCATCTCTTGCTTCAAAGCCCAGTCTGGTTCAGCAGAAACCAACGGCTTATGTAAGGCCAATGGACGGTCAAGACCAGGCCCCTGATGAGTCTCCAAAGCTGAAGTTATTGACAGAGACGACCAAGTTGTACAGGGGAGTGCCTTCTAACAAACCTGATTCGGCCAGGACCAAGTCAAAGATAACGAAGTTCAACATTCCTAAGCAAGAAGAGGTATGTGTTTTGATGCTTTTTATGACATCCTATCCTGAATAGATGGATAGATAGCAGCTTAGAACTGCAAACTGCATCTGTCTCTTTACATATTTTTGATGTCTTAGTTTTTATGTTTTATTTTGCAAACACTGATATGCAAATAGCAACCACATAGTAATGTAAAGATATCTCAACATCAAGATGTCTTCGGGTCCATAACACCTTCTCAGTGCCACATTTTCCAATAGTATATATTACTTTTTTTTTTCCTGAATGTCCATATGTAATGTCTGGATATTTTAAATTCGTCTTTTAGCTAGGCTTGTGTGTTATGTCACAGTGTTCATAGTCGGTTGACTTTCTTCTTTTTCTCAGTGATTAAATGAAGTGCTTGGCATCAGAAGTAGTTCTGCCATCCTCAATGATGTCAAAGTAGTTTTACAGTCTAGATAAATTATAGTTAGCAATGTGAGATCTGTGGAATAGATGAAAATGTAGCAGTGAAACTCTCGTTCATAAAATCTTCTCTTTCACACCAATTTTCAAAAAGACTAAGGTTTTCTTCCTAAATAAACACAGTTTATAAAAATCAGTCTTGCTATAAAGGTGAGAACCTATCCGAAAAAAACTTCTAGGCAACATTTCTGATATTAGCAGTAGATGTGAAAGGTATCTGTTTGGACTTATTTTATGTTTGTTTATTTCACATTCCATTGGCTACATTAGGACACCTCATTTTGTCACTTGTGTATTATGTGATTTTCTGTTTTGTGTTTTTTGGGTGGGGAGGGAATGGCTGTTTTTGGCAGAATGAAGAATGTGTTTTTTTTATTTCATGGATGTATTGAGAGACCTGTATGTTTATACAAAGATGGTCACATCCTCTTGTGCAAACTGGTAGAGCTCCCATGGCTTAAACAATTTATAGTATTTATAGGACTGAATGATTCTATTTGACTGAATCACTGATAGAGTCTCAGAGCAGAGTTACTGATTGTTTATTCTTATTTGATGACTGTGGTGTGCCTTGAAATGTTTTTAGTCCTTTTTTTAAATTTTTCTGGTACTGCTAAAGGAGAGGAAAACTCTAATTTTTGGTAAAGCTCTCTGGCCTCTTAATGCCTGTTTTTCAGAGATGGAGTTGACTGTTGTATTCCCTTTTCAGTTTGGTTGAGGAAAGAAGTCTCTCTGGAAGCAATTACTTTTCTCAGTTCCTGTAGACATTATGCCCATGTGGTTTTTCTCTAAGTTTAAGTTCCATCAGTTCCAAACCATTCTGAAGAGATATGTTGTTACTGAAAAGGGGTTGTTTTAGGCACTTAAGTCAGATTTGATAAGCAAATTTAGCATTCACAGATTGCTGTAATTGTGCAGATAGATCAGGTAATGGCATATGCTAATATCCATTTAGCTATTATTACCTCCTTCAGACTTCTCACTTGCCACTATCTGCAAGTAAGAAGTATTGTTAGAATTAAAGATGCCTGTGGCAATTGTCTGAATCTTACAAATTTTCCCCCTTTACATGTATGCAATACCCTAGTGACTAGTTTGGAAAGGGATTTTGATAGGCAATCATTTGTTTGTCTGAAATTCAGAATTTTCCATTTGCATTCCAGATTTGCCTACCTCAGTAGGAAAGAAAGCTTTCACTTGTTGTACGTAATCCACAATGATGTGTAAGGGTAAATTTATACTGCAGTTTCTAGACATATAGATGTATTTGAGATTGCTTAAACTAACTTGCTTAGATACTGATAGCAATGTAGGCTATGGTAGGATAGCATAGGTAACTGCAAGGTAACTACTACAGTATTCAACAGCTTCTCACAGGTTTTGTGGGACACAGTATTTTTGAAATAGTATTTGATAACATAAACATTTAGCTGAAATTAAAGGAGGTAGACAAAAAAGCATTGTCTGGTAGGTTAAGAAAAAGAGGTTAAGTGATTATAAAAATGATAGACATATTGCTCAGAAGAACATGGTAGATGTTATGGGTGGTGTTGGGATTTGTAACTTGAGCTAATAAAAGACAATGCTTAGATCTCGTACTTGAGGACTGAGAGTACCGATCATAAAAGTACCCAACATTTTTTCCTTTATCTTGACATTTCCTTTGTTCTAACATTTTCCATCCCAAGTGACACCCAATGAAAATGATAACCCACTGATATTGCTACAGGGAGAAGTATTGACTAATTTTTTTGTTGTTGTTGCTAATCTGTTCTCCCTTTAATTTTCAGTAGTACTTATTTTTGCTTCAAAATCTCTTTCCATTCTTCTCATTTTTATCATACATCTTCTGACAAGATTTTGTAAAAATTTTCATGCATTCTTTAAATTTCTGCTTTCAAACTCATAGAACTCCTCGTTTGCATCAAAAGGCCACTGTCCTTTATTAGGGATATAAGTTTTAAGCTACTCTCGCCACATAAGCTGGCATAGTCTTCTAAACCTTTGCAGACAAAATGAGGTTTCCCTTGCACAGGATGGGGCTAAAGGTGATGGCCAGAAGAAATCAGGTATCTCTAGTGGACATGGAATGACCAGATGAATAGAGATGAAATGCAGGTTGATCATGAGAGAAAGCAGACTGACAAATAGGCAAGGACAGTGTCTGGGAAACTATGTGGAAACAGAAATGGGTGCTGGGTGCTCGCAGTGAGAAAGTGTATTCTTGTGTTCAAATGAAACTTCATGTATTTTAGTTCATACTCTTTCCATCTTGTCCTGTCACTGGCTACTAATGAGAAGAATCTTGCTCCTTATTCTCTGTTGCCTGACATCAGGTATGTATGAGGGCTGCTCCAAAAGTAATGCCTCCTATTGTATTATGTTGATGCACAATGCCAGAGGCAGATGTTGGTGGGATGACAGTAGAGGCTAAACCTTCCTGACAATATTCTGTTGCATTTTGTTGCCATATACTAGATGGCAGCACAGGGGCAGTCTGACACAATGGTGTCTGACATGGAGTTCAGGTGAAGTAAAGATGTGGAACTGAATTCTTCCATATGGAAAAAATGGCACCCTCTGATATTCATTGACTCTTGCTGAATGTTTATGGAAACGTGGACATGAACACAGTGAGGCAGTGGATGGTGCCTTTCAGCATTGGTGACAGTGACATGAAAGACAAGCCATGTTCCACATGAGCATGTACAGCATTTCACACCACAAAATGCAGAGCATCTTGATCAGCTCATCCATGTGAATAGATGGGCTATGACAGGCACTCTGTGTAGAAATGCATTGCAAACTGTATTGCAAAGTTTGTGCCAGGTGGGTCCCATGAATATTGACACAGGAACTGAGAGAGCACCATATACAAGTTTGTAAGGACTTACTGAACCAATAGATAGCTGAAGATGACAATTTCCTGGATCACATCATTACCAGTGATAAGACATAGTGTCACTGCTAAGAGCTGGAGTCAAAACAGTAGTCCATGAACTGGTGACACATTAATTCCCCATCGATGAAAAAGCTCAATATGTAGCCCTCAGTGGGTAAAGTGATGTGCACTACCTTTTGGGATAGGAAAGGTGTGATCCTTCTGGATTTTCTGGAACCCAGACAAGCCATCAACTCTGACTGTTACATTGCAGTGCTCAGCTGAAGGCTCAAACTTACAGAGTCAGGCCAGAGAAGAAGACAACCTTTCTCTTGCAACTCAATAATACCAGGTCCCGTGTCAGTTTGAAGACCATGGAGCACATTGCCAATCTTGACCAAACTGTCCTACCACATACACCGCATAGTCTGGAATTGACAATTTCTAACTTCCAGCTGTTTGGGTCACTGGAAAAGGGGCTATGTGGGCAACCTTTTCCTAGCAACAATTCTGACATAGAAGCTGTGAATCAGCGGGTCACCTCTGCTGGTTCAGGTCTTTATGAGCACAGCATGCAGGCTCTTGTTCTTTGCTGATGAAAATGCACAGCAAACAGTGGTGACTATGTTGAAAAATAGTATTTTATAGCTGAGAATTTGCTCTGTCAAATAATGTTATTATGCTGTTTGTATCTGTTGGAAATAAATGGGAGGCATTACTTTCAGAGCAATATTTATACTGAGGATTTTTCTCTGTCCCTAGCCACCTTGAACCTTCTCTTCTCTTCACTGAACAGTTACAGTTTCTCAGCTACTCCTTGTATGAGAGATACTCCTCTCCCGTTACCATAATTGTGGCCCTGCACTAAATTCACTCCAGGAAGTCCATACATATCTTTCATGTATTGGCTCCAGCACTTCAGATATGGCCTCAGTGTTCAGCAGGGAGGAAGGATCACCTCCCTTACTTTGCAGGCCACAATTTTCCTAATGCAGCTCAGGGTATTGTTGGCCTTTTCTGGGGGGCAAGTGAATGGGTGCATCTGTGGCTCATGGTCAGCATTAGGCTGTTAGGATCTTCCTCTGTATCTGGATCTTCCGCTGTGAGGATCTCTTCCTCTGTAGAGAAAATTTTCATTCGGTTAGATGACAGCCTATTTTGGTGCATGGGATTCCTTTGCAGAGTCAGGATTTTATATTTCTCCTTGCTGAACTTCAAATAAATCCCATCAGGCCATTTCACCAGCCTGCCAACGTTCCTCTGGATGGCAGCACGACCTTTGGTTTATCAACCACTTTTCCCAGTTCTACATCATCTACAAACTTGCTGAGGCTATCCTGTGGCCCATCATTCTGGTTCTTAATGAAGATGCTAAACGGTGTTGGCTTCAGTATTGACTGGAGGGGATAAGCCATTAGGAACTTATCTCCAACAAGACTTTGTGCCAATGATCACAACTCTTTGTGACATTTTCATAGTCCTAGCTCTCTGTCTTCCAGCCTAGTTTTGTCATTGAACTTTTTGTTTTATACTTCCAGTTCTTTAAAACATGTACATAAAGATACCGTGGTCCAAAACCTATTCTTTATAACTTGGTCTAAACAAGTTCAGTGGCTACTTAACTGAACTGAAAGCTGGGCTGCGAGAGCTTTCCTGCAAATTGAGGAAGCGAGATGTGAGT